GTCACAGTATGGGGAGAGCAATTAGGGTCACATAACAATGTATGTATAAATTTTTGTATGGGAGACTAACTTGAAATGTAAACTTCATTAAAACTACAATAAAAAAAATTAAAAAAAAAAAAAAAAAGCCTCCATTTTGGAAGGACCTTTTTGGCCAGGCTGGACTAAATCTTTTATATACATCATCTATTTCATCTTTCGGCAGCTTATATTGTCATGAGGAAATGGTCTCCAGTTGTTACACAACTTGCTGAAGGTCTGTTATAAGTGGTAAGCCAGGAGCTGAACTCAGATCTGACTCCAAAACTTCAACTCTTGACTACTAGACTCTTCTTCCCCTTCCCAGAATTAAAAACAAAAGATTCCAGCCTATGTTGTTGTTGTTAGGTGCCACTGATTCAGCTCCAACTCTCAGCGATCTTACATATAACAGAATGAAAAGTTGCCTGATCTTGTACCATCCTCACAATAGTTGCTATGCTTGAGCCCACTGTTGCAGCCACCGTGTCAATCCATCTCAGTGAGGGTGTCCCTCTTTTTCACTGACCCTCACCTTTACCAAGCATGATGTCCTTCTCCAGCGACTGGTCCCTCCTGATGACACGTACAAAGTAAGCAAGATAAAGTTTCGCCATCCTTGTTTCGAAGGAGCATTCTGGCTGTACTTCCTCCAAGACGGATTTGTTCATTCTTCTGGCAGTCCATGGTATATTCAATATTCTTCACCAACACAATTCGAATATGTCAATTCTTCTTCGAGCTTCTTTCATATGCAAATGAGGCAACTGAAAACACCACAGCTTGAGTTAGGTGCACCTTAGTCATCAAAGTGACATCTTTGCTTTTTAACACTTTAAAGAGGTCTTTTGCAGCAGATTTTACCCAGTGCAATACATCGTTTGATTTCTTGACTACTTGCTGCCATGGTCATTGATTGTTGGTCAAGAAGAATGAAATCCTTGACAACTTCAATTTCTTCACCACTTATCATGATGTTTTTTACTGGTCCCATCGTAAGGATTTTTGTTTTCTTTAGGTCAAAATTTACTAAACCAATTTCTTATAATGGGACATTTGGCACAATTTCAATATTTCAGTCTTTATAAATAATGCCATAATGAACATCTTCTCACTTAAGGAAATTTCCGGCTGTTTCCTTAGGACACATTCCTAGACAGAATTATTGGTTCAAAGGGATGGACTTATTATAGCCAAATTGCTTTCCAGGAAGATTATACTAATTTGCCAGCTTTGAAGAAAAAAAAAAAATCTTTGCCAGCTTGACAGGTAAAAAGCGCTGACTTGTTTTATGCTCTTTACTTTGATTGCTGGTGAACTTTCAGCTTTTTAAATTTGCATTTCTCTTTTTGTAAGCCATCCATACTCTTTATCCATTTTTTTTTTTTGGTAGGTTGTTTACAATTTTTTCTAAATTTATGAAGGTTTTGGATATTAATGTTAAGGGTATTATCCCTTTGTCAAACTTACTGTAAACATTTTCCTGAGTTTGTCATTTGTGTTTTAAATTTTGCATGTGGCGCCTTTTTTCTTTTTTGATGCAAGGAAGTTTTCGATCTTTTTTACGGGTTTGGTATGAGTTAGGGTGATTTGTCTTGGGCCACAGGAAGTCTTGGCATGGGCAGCACAATGGCTGCACAATGTCACCAGGGACCCCCTTCTTTCCTCTTTCTGCTCTGCCGCACCTAGCAGATCGCCTTTGTGCTCACAGTTGTTGCCTCATGGTCGCAAGATGGCTCTCAGCTCAGTGAAACCCTGCTGGGCGGTGAGCAAGTGCCTAGGAGGCAGGTGTGAGGTTTGGATGTGCTAAGATGTAGCGCCACCTTCAGTCAGTACTTGTGGGCATGGGGATTCACTCCTTCAACTGGCATCCATGATTGCCACGAGCGTGCTGGCACAAGGTTAAATGGTCCACGGAGTTGCCTCAAGGACCAGCTCTCAGAGCAGACAGGAAGCAGGGAACACGTGGACACGCTGGGACGTGTCTCAGAAGCTTGTGTAGGCCTCAGCATGGACCGTCTGGCATGCCTCCCTGAGACCATGGACCATCTGTGGGAAGGTCTGTGTCTGAGTCATCTCTTAACAGATTGTGCCTGGCACACAGGGAAGAAGGCTAACGTTTACTGAGCACCTATTAGGTACCAGGTACTGATAGCTCTAAATGGATTTTCACCGAGCAAAACCGTGAGGAAAGGCAGTGTGAGGAAGTAGTTAAGAGCTTGGGCCTGAGTTCAAATCCCAGTTCACTACTTAGTGTAAGATTTGGGGAAATTACTTAACCTCCCTGAGCCTCAGTTTCCTTTTCTATAAAACGTGGTATTAATAGTGCCCACATACCATTTGTATGAAGATGCAAAGAGTTAAATCCACATTCAGCACCTAAAGCAACCCATGGCTTGTGGTAAGCCCTCCATCGGTGTTAGCTGTTGTTATGAAGCCTTACATTCCCTCCATAAGGTAGGCATCATGATTCTGTTTTACAGATGAGAAACTGATGCTTGAAGAGGTAAATAACCTGCTTTAGGGCCATGGATGCCACCCATGGTTGCACAGTCCCTGATGTCCCCTCCCCACACCAGGTAGTGGGAATCCAACGACAGACATCCAACGAACACTCCACTTCCCTTCCAGGTTGCATCAACGATCGGAAAACACAACTGAGGCAGCTGTTCCACTCCCTTCAAGGCCAGAAGAAAGCTTCCAGCTAATCCCCAGCCGCCGGGAGGAAAGGGAACCTGGGAGGCGCCACACTAGTCCTCTCCCTACTCCCAGCGTTAGCAGAGCCACACCGCATGGCATTTGCCTCCCTCCCTCCCTCCAGCCTGGCAGTAGCTCTGCTGGCTCAGCGAGCCGCTGCTTGCCATTTGGACTGGATCTCCCCTTTCCCACACACCCCTCCTCCCCAGGCATCTCTGCACCAGCAGCCAGCCAATCCCCGGGGCTGGATGGGCTTTAACCTTGACAGATTGGCGTGGCATTCTGGCTCACAGGGGACAAATGATGCAAGTCCTGCTATTCCAGAGAGACTGCATCTAATAAATGAGCACAAGCCTCCCATGGAGAGTCACTGGGCACCAGCCTTGCTCAGGGGTGCTATTGGTGCACTTCACCCTGTTACCTGCCTGTCTATTTCTGAGTTTGTGACTCTTGGTAGGAATCGTGGCATCGTGTCAAGACGGGAACCACCCCTCCGCAGGTGGTTTCTAAGAGCAGTATGTGTCCTCAAAGGACCGAAAGAGGTAGATGCGAGCCTGCTATTCGTTCATTTAGCAAGTATTTATTGAGCCCTCAATGAGCACAAAAGCCGCACATTCACGTTAGGACCTCAGACTGCGGAAGGCAGAAGGGAGCTGTAAGTGGGGCTGGCCCTGGCAGGCCTCGCTCTCAGAGGCAGAGGAGGGCATCCTTGCCATCCCATCCATGTGCAGCAAGTTAGAGGCAGCCCCACTCGTCCATTCCTGGTGCAGGACTCCACAAGGCCTTCCTGACTAAAAAGCAGATACCGAGGTTGATAGTAGCACCCACTCTGGGCTCCATCCTGGGAACAAGCAGGAAAAAACGGGCAAAAGGGGAGGCAGAAGGAAGGAAATGTGTCTGCCCCACAGATAGCCATGGTGAACCAGGAAGCAGAGAGATCCCTGTCCTTCACTCAGAACCACCTGGGAGTCTCCTTGTTTTATTCTGATTCCATTACACACGTGCTTGACCGTGTCTCTCTCCCTGAGAGGAATGCTGGAATGAAGCTCTCGTTCTTCCCCCTACCCTTCCCGGAGCCCGTGTGAACAGCAGGCCATTGTTGAGAACTGCCTGTTGCAGTCATTCTCACACCCCCACCCACCCACTGGTGGCTGCCGGGGCCTGTCAAAGGGTCTTGTGTCCACCCAGTCCGGCAGTCAGGCCCGGGAGACACTGCAGGCTGAGGTTCCCACCTGCCTTCCAGAGCCGCCAAGTGCTAGAGAGAAAAGCTTCATACAGGAGCCATGGCCAGACTCCAGATGCCTGCCCCCTCACAGGGCAGATCCTGTCCTTGCAGGCTTCAAGGCTGAGGGTCCTGGGTCCTCCATGACCCCAAGGGGGAATGCTGGTTTTAAGTCCCCCATCTTGGTTCTTGAGCTTCATCCTTTTAAGATGACCTTGACAGCTTTAAGCTCATCCTGGCTAAGGGGGTTCAGGTTAAAACCCTTCAGCTCCGGCTTGCCTAAGGGGAGAAGACAATCCATCAGCAAGTCAGGCCTCCCGCTGTCGAGCTTACTGCTGGCTCGAGCCAGGCCCATGAAGGGGCTTACACTGCATCGCTGCTGCCAAACACTCGGCCTTGAGGTCTGACAGGATGAGCCTCAGATCCTGCAATGCACTGGATGACGTATATCAGCACCCACTCCTGGGTCACCATGAACCTGCAAAGTCATGTCTATGCTGCCCAGAAAGCTCTGGAATTTTTGCCAGACCTGCGACCCATCTAGAGTGCTTGGGTTTAGCCAGAAATTCAGCCCTGACTTCTCCCCTAACTCAGGACTTTTGCGCTCTCTCAGTCAGAGCTGTCCCAATCCCCACACTGCCTCTGTCCCCACACCATGCCCTGGTATGTACTGGGAGATTACCCAGGCAGTTCCTGGTGCCCGGAAAAGCAGCTGTGACAGTAATCAGACCCCACAAACCTCCCTGTCCATCCTCATCTCTTGGCAGCCTTAGCCAACCACTGCCCACACCTCCAGTGCCACACACATGCTGCTCAGGCCACTGCCCAGCTCTGAGGGGTTTCCCACCCCTGCCCTTCAAAGTCCATGCTGATGGTTCTTTGCCCCTCCTGGTTTCCAGCCCCCCACTCCCCACCCCCAGGCCAATACCTTGGGCCTCAAAGAGGCGGTTGACCTTCAGTTTAAGTTGTTTCCGGAGTTTCTCTATTTCGCTATCCAGATGAGCCTGATCTGGAAAGACGAGGTAGGGAAGCAGAGGATGAGGTTATACTACAGACAGACTGACTCAAAGGGGTCAGGGATGCCAGGTTTCTCCCACCCCCTTGCGCTTTTAGCATTTGGGAAGCAAAAGGAAATCTCAGCGACAAGCTGAGGCAGGAACTAAAGGCCAGAGAAGGGATGTGACCTGTCCAACACCACTGCGTTCAGGTCATGGCTGGGCATACCAGTCTCCTGACTCCCAGCTCAATGGCCTTTTTTCATTATGCAAATCCCTTGGGGTGGTCAGTGAATGGGGAAGGCAATATCAGGACTTTAGATGATCCTCCCATAGTGGATGTACAGAAAATTCACTTTTAAGAACAAAATCAAGCACCTATAGACCTGGCTCACCCTAAGAAATGGTTGGCAAATGGTTGCTGAAGAGTTTCAAAAACCCAAGTTTGTCAAGGTGATAGGTTTTTAGAAAAAACTTAACACACGACCTAATTCAAGCCTAATGCTCAAGCTTCATCTCAATAGCCACAGTGGAAAGAGAAAAAGTTATCATGAATGTTACAGACCATGCATTAGGAGAAGGGGAAGCATGATGATAGAGACAGCTCTCAAAGCCATGACTGAGGTCACCCAACAACTCTGCCTGCTGAACTTCCACCTGCTCATGAGGGACATTCTGACTTTCAGTATGGCTTCTCCACATTCATTCTAACAGGACAAGCCCTGACCAGCCAAGCCTTCTGGTCTGGGCAGTGGTTCTACTTCTCATGTAAATGAGTGGTCCCAGTCTCTCATGCACTTGTTTAGCCCCGGAACCCCTCTGGGCATGGTGACAAGACCACCCTTGCGAGCCAGCGGAGGACCAGATCCTCAACCCTGTGAAGCAACCCCTCTGGAAGCACAACCCAAACAGCCTCCAGCCAACCACCCAAGTACAAGGGCAACTCTTAATTTTATAACCACAATGTTAGAGTGAGTTTTTCAACAGAACAGCTGGAAACCTCTCCTCCAGGCTGGATCTTCTGCTAGAATTTTAGTTTCAAAGGTATGGAGACACCGTCTTCTTGGACTGAGGCAACCTTGCTGATCCTCTTGACCCATTTGTTTTCAAGGAGGGGGAGGAGAAAATACACTTAATTTGCCCTTTTCCCAGCCAAAGACGCATTCACAGCCCAACTCTTTGCCTTCATGCTTCTCCAAAGAGCTTCTAGGATCGTAGTTGGGCAGCTTTGAGTAACATATATTGAGTGCCCAGGCTGTGGCAGTCCCTAGAGGTTCACTCCACCCAAGTCTCCATTTTCAACCCAGCCTCTACTGCAGGGGATGTGTAAACTAAAAGCTCACTCTCCCAGGTCTCCTTGCAGCTATGGGTGGCCATGTGGCTTAAGTCTGGCTAATGAGAGGTCAGTTTAAGTCTCTTGGAGGAGAGGGATGCTCTTAGTTCCAAACTAGAAGGCAAGGCCACACCTGGAAAAAGCCTTTTGCCTGCCCTCCGGCCTAACACATGGACACGAGGCCTACAGTGATGACCCAATAACCATGAGAATACACTGAAGTGGCACCCTGGGCAACTGTGCCAGGCCTGGACTGCCACCTCCAGAAAACTTCCTATGTAAGAAAAACAGAACTCAATTCCTTAAGTCTTAAGTTGTTGGGTTTTCTGTTATTTGCAGCTCAAATCATTCCTCACTGATAAACGTGCACTATGCTGGGCACACAATACTGTTTTATCTCAACCTCACAACTCTGTTATGGGAATGCATTCCCTTCTAGAGCTGAGGCAGTAACTCACGGTGGCAGAGCAGGGTCTGAACACCTGTTAACTGGATGACTGTGTAACAGAGCTGCCTCTCACCCAGCTGCCAAGAGCTTGTCTCTTCAGTTCCAGGCTAAGGCTGAGGGGGGCGGGAGGCAGTTGTGTCCCTGACCAATCCTCCGGATGCCTTACCTTTCTCAATCATTTCTTTCGTCTGAGGGTGAGGCATCTTGATAAACATGCTCCCGAAGCAAACCATCACATCTTCTGAAATGGCAAACGGTCATTCCTTCACTAAATATTTTCTGAGTACGTACTATCTGCCAGACATTGTTTTAGATGCTGAGAACACAGCAGAACAAGACAAAGTTCCTGCCCTCATGGAGCTTACATTAAAGTGGAGGACAGAGAATAAACATGTAAAGACATGATGGCTCAGACCCTGAGAAGTGCTGTAGAGAAAAGTTAAGCAGAGTAAAAGGGATAGGGGATGCCAGTGCAGGGGAGGGACTTGTTACTTATACCAGGTGGTCTGAGAAGGCCTCACTGTATGTGACACTTGGGTTGATCAGAAGGAAGTGAGGGTATCTTCCCCTGCAGACACCTGGGGGAACAGTGAGCAGGCAGAGGAACCAGGAACAGCACATATGTAGTGTGCTTGCGGTGTTAGGAACAGTGAGGAGACCAACACTGCTGGAGTCAATGAATTAAGGGGAAAGTAGAAATGATGTTGGCGAGTTCATGGGGGGCTGGACTGTGGGGAGCCTTGCAGAACTTTTTTCTCTGGAGAAATGAGAAACAACTGGAAGGTTTTATGCTTTCCACTGAACTTTAAACAGAACTCAAGCTTCTTTCCCTGGTCCCCACAGCCCTTCATTATGGCCTGGCCTCTGCCTATCGCATGCCCTCCCTTCTTGCTTACTCTGCCATAGTCACCTGGCCCCATCTAAATAGTCCCCATCCCCTCTTCCTGGATATTCTCGACACCTACACCTGCTTTATGTCCAATTCCATTTTTAGCCTTCTCAAAATTCTCAATTATGTATTTTATGCTGTTTTATTTATCTGCTAGAGTAGAAGGGCAGAAGCCATGTCGTTTTTATACTCCCTAGCACCTTCCTCAGGGTGTGTCATCACCAATGAGCCAGGAGCTAACAGCCTGTCACTGAAGTAGGCAGCTGAAATCCTGAGCTACATTTCTCACCCATTCCCACAGGCTATCTTAATTCCCTATGAGGCTGACAGTCATACACCTGTGGCCTCCTGCCTGGTCTCCACCAGGGACAAGGTGAGGGCTTCAGAAGGAAAACCGAACAGGCTTCTGGGGCCACAGTAGGAAATCTCAACTTACCAGAGACACTGAGATCCCTCTGCAGGGCCCTCAGGGCCTCCCGGTTCTGATTCCGTTTGGTGTCCAGGTCTACAATCTGAAAAGCAAAGGGACAGGTGGGACCTCAGCTACCTCTTGCCCCAACTGGCCACCTTCCAAAAGACCAAGGGCTAGGAAGATAGCAAGACACCATTCCTAAGTTTCTTTCAACATCCTGCTTGAACTGGACTGTGAATGTGTTTCTTCTCCTACTCACCTCACCTTCCAGGTTCTTACACACAATGTTTTGTGCAGGTATTGTCCCCCAGAGAAGGTGCTAGAAAATGTTTGCAGACTAAATGGCTCATTTTTCTTATCCAGTGGAGTACTAGTTCTATAGGGCCTATCAGAATTGCCAGAGGAGCATGTTAAAAATGCAAATTCCCAAACCTCTCTCCTAGACACTGTGACTGAGCAGACATAAGAATTTCTAGTTTTGGACAAGTTCCTCCGGCTGATTTTGACTTAGTATCACAAGAAACTCAAAATACTAGACTGGAACAGCAGTGGTGAGGGCAGTGAAAGGGTGGTAACAACCTAATAGCAACTAGGGAAGTGAGGGGGCAGTACAGTGTACAGCTGGAGAGTGCCGGCTCTGGAACCCAAACACCTGGGCTTGAATACTGCCATCTCCTAATAGCTGTGTGACTTCACCTGTTTTCCCCTCTAAAAAATGGGGACAAGAACAGTACATACCTCCTAGGCTACAGAGCCAGGAATGAAATGAGGTAGCACAGTGCCTGACACACGATAACCTTAATTGCTATTATTATTATCACCCACCACACGTTGATGCAGTTTTTAACTTAATAAACTCTTTCCCAAGCCACCTCTTAGTAAATGCCCCACCAACCACCCACTCATTTTAAATGGAGATGAGACAGAGTCATAAGTCTTTTTTTTTTTTTTTAAATGAAAATACACACAGCAAAACTTGCCCCCGTTCCAGTATCTAGATATAATGATCAGTGACACTGGTTACATTTTTCACATTGTGTCACAGTTCTTGTTATTTCTGTGCTAGCTGTTTCCTTTCCATTTACTATAAGTCATTCTTGACTCCTCCCCATCCCTCAGCTCTATATGTAACCATCATCATGTCCTACTGAGTCAGTCCATCTCCAAAATATATTTCTGCCCCATTCACTTCTCTCCATGGCTCTGATCCAAACTCCTGGCTAGCCTGGACCATGGCAATGGCCCTTCATCATCTCTCTGCCTCCACCATTGCCCCCTATATCTATGCTCCACACAGCAACCAGAGGAATTCTTCTAAAACCAAAATCCAATTACTTCCTCCTCCATGAAGGCCCTTCAACGACTTGGCATTTAAATAAGCAGACCCAAATTCCCTATGCAGGTCTACAAGGACCTCCGTGGCCAGGCCCCCCTCCTCCCAATCACAACGCCTCTCAGGTCTCTTTTCTGTAACTCTTCTCTCAGGACCTTGACAGCTGCGGTGCACCCATCAACGAGGGGACCCAGGAAATACACTTTTAAAAAGGTGATTCCGGGAAACCGCCTGGAATGGGTAATGTATTGGGATCCGGCGGGATGGAGAGAGGGAACGCCTAACACAGTTACTGTCGTTGGGTGCCGTCGAGTCGGTTGCGACTCATTGCGACCTAACGTACAACAGAACGAAACATTACTCAGTAAATACCCGCCGAATGAGTGACGCGCAAGCGCCGTGCTAAGCGTTTGACCCACATTATCTCACAACCGCCCTCTAAGTCTGTCGTCTCGGAGCTATCAAACCATCAGCCCAGGTCAACACACTGAACATCTGTGCGGAGCCAGATTCCAGACCCCGCACTTCCCCTACTGCCTCGCGCCAGGCCCCAACCGCCGGTCCCGGAGCGGCGGAAGCGCCTCACACCTGCCGCTTGTTCGACAACACCTCCTCGGCGAGCTCCTCCACCTCCACCAGGTACCGTAGCACCCGCTGTGCCTCCGGTGACAGCATAGCGCCTGCTACCTCCCGCTCGGCCGCTACGCACCTCCCGCTCTGCTGAGGCCGTGCCCGCGCACGCGCAGCTTTCACAGGGCTGCCGGCGCGCAGGCGCAAATAAAGGAAGTGCGGTGCGCAGGCTTGTACGCACGGACGACAGCCGGACTCGGGGGTGGGGCCTAGCGTTGGGGGCGTGGTTGGAGCGCCCCCTGCCGGTCTAGAGAGCCCATCCATAGCTCTGCCTAACTCACCTCCTTCCAGCTTCTGATATTTCTTTAGCATCTATTGTGTGCCAGGCAGTTTTAAGTGCTGAGGATTCAGCAGTGAACAAAACAAAGTTCCTACCCTCATGGAACTTTATCCTAGTGGGAAACGCCAACAATTAATGACAAAACAAATAGTTATATACTATGGCAGGTAGGGAGTCCCTGGGTGGTACAAATGATTAACCTGCTCAGCTGCTAACTGAAAGGTTGGAGGTTCGAGTCCACCCAGAGGCGGGTGCCTTGGAAGAAGGACCTGGCGATCTAATTCCAAAACATCAGCCACTGAAAACACTATGAAGCACAGTTCTACTCCGACACACACGGGGTAGCCATGAGTCAGAACTGACTCCACGGCAACTGTTTTTTGTTGTTGTTGTTTTGTATTTTGTTTTGATTTGATTTTTAGTGGTTGATGGCAAGTAGTGATAAGAGCTTTGTAGAAACAGAAATCATTCTTTGCCTGTTTGAGGAACTCCACGGAGGCCTATGTGGCAGTGTGCTTATACTTAACGTCTGACACCTTCAGTTTCCAGGGTATAAAATGAGAATGAACAAAAAAATGTCTGTAGGACAGGAAGGAGGAAGGAATCATTTTTAATTCAGTTCAACCAGTGTTCACTGAGCCCCTGCATTGGGCCAAATGCCTGGAGGAGCTGATCTAACTAAACCCAAGGAAGGGGTTGGGGAACTATGGGCAGTGAGCAAAGAAGTTCTATGAGTACTGGAAAGGGAATTGATATAGGCTGTAGGATTTGGGAGAACTTTCCAGAGGAGGTGGACAGATGGGAAGTAGCTGCCCATTGGAACCGGAGGGTTCCCTAGAAATCTTCATGTCCAGCTCTCTCATTGTATAGCTGGAAAACTGAGGCTCAGAGAGAGGTGAGGTCTTTGAAAAATCAACAGCAGCCCTGATACTAGCTCACCGACCACCTGCTGCCCAAATTCCAGCTATTTATTTTCCCTTTTTGACCCCTTGTAACTAAGCCCTTTCACATCCCTTGCCTTACTTGAACCCCACAGCAACCTTTGTACAGATGGGATTATTATTGCCCCATTTTACAGCTGAAGACTGAGGCCAGGAGAAGGGTAATGTCTTGTCACACAACAAGTCAGGAGCAAAAGCAGGTCTGAATGGCTCAGTTCTCCGTACCGAAACTGCCTCTGGACCCTGGAAAAACCCTTCCCCAAAGTGTGCTGCAGCAGTACACCCTCTTTGCCTGGCCTTTGGCTGCCTTCAATGGCCAGAGACAGAGCAAGCTTCCCTGCAGCTGCCTGGTGTGGGGAGGGAGAGAGATTTGTTAAGGAACCCAGGATGTTTTGTGTAAACACGTTCTGGTTCAGAAATACAGACACAACACAGGCCCTGCGAAGGAAAGGGAGAAATAGGGCTCACAAGGCATCCCTGGGACCTGGACCCCAGGACTGGGTCTCCCCACCTTGGAGTCCAACAAGGGTGGAACCAGGCTGACCCTGGACCCCTGCCAGCTGGGCCTGGAGTGGGAGGGGTTGAGGGAGGCTCCTACGCTGGCTGCTTCTTGGCTGTGACTGATCCTTAGAGGGTACCCCAGGCTCCTAGAAGGGTTGGAGAGAGGTGTCATATCCAAGACTTCCAGATGGTCAGAGCTGGAAGGACTCTTGAAGATCAGTTATATTTCAGAACCATTTATTTCACAAGTATTTATTGATTTCCAGAGAAAGAGAGGATGGCTGCTGGCCGGGGTGGGGGGGAGGGGGGAGGGGGGAGCAATGGTCGGATCCTCAGGGCCTTTGCACACCCTCCTCCATCAGCCTGGATTAGTTTCCTCCCATACCTTTGAACCTACACAACTGCTACATATCCCCCACTTCTCAGATGGTATCACCCCTCCCAAGGGCCGAGGGCCCCTCTGGGCCCCCACAGCTTCCTGGGCTCCCCCCATCTCTGCACTTACCATGACATCTTTTTTCTCTAACCATCTCCCTCTCCAGACATGAGCTCTGCAGGGGAGGGACCTTGTCTGTCTTGTTCATGGCTGTATCTCCAGAGCCTGTGACTGTCTTGGCACACGGTAGGTGCTCAGTAAATGTTTGTAGAATGAATGAATGAACTCAACATGAGGCAGAACTTTCTAAAATCTGAAGTATCTAAAGATGAACAGAACTATCTCAAGGGTAATCAGCTCCCCCATCTCGAGAGGTGTGTAAGTCGAGGGTGGGGCCATGTGGTCAGAACGTTGCAGAGGGGAGTTGGCCACTGGGTGCGGTGATCCCTAAGCCTTTTCTAACCAGAAAAACTCTACCTGACCACACTGGGGCATGCCCGCATCCCTGGCCACCCCGCCGGCCCCAAAGAGGTGCAACTGCTAGGGCTTTAGTGTTTCCGGACTGGAGACAACAAAAGTGATGCTCCCCCACCCACCTTGGGTCCCTTTTTACCATTTCTGTACACCCCCCTCCACCGTATGCATTCAATGAGCAGCACTTACATGGCTCCTTGGGGAGGACTGTCCTCAGGCTAATGGAGCCTAGTGGGGGGACTTTGCCCTACTCCCAAACTGTTCACTATCATTGTAGGGGTATGGAAGCCCATCCTCCTTGCGGAGCGGGTGGTGTCAGGCCGGAGCTGCCCTCCACACGACCCCTGATCTCCCAGCCCTGCCCGGCTTCCTCGCCTCCCTTGCTCTGCCTTCCCCACTCCTTCACTGGCCCAGACTCTCACTCCAGAAAAAACACGCTCCTCAAGGAGGCCCACGAGGCCCTACCTGACCTGACCTGCCCCTCCCCATCACCTCTCTGAGTCATCTCCCGCCTCCTTGCTGTTCCTCAAACAAGCCAGGCACGGTCCCACCGGAGGACATTGCCATCGCTGCTCCCTCTGCCTGAGCTTTCCTCTGATATCTCCGTGGGCCCCTCCCCGACCTCCTTGCTCAAATGTCACCTTCCCAGTGAGGCCCACTCTGACCACCCTATGTAAAAATGCAGCCCTGATCCCACCCAGCACATATGATCCCCTCCTCTGCTCTGCTTTTTCTTTTTTCCATAGCCTTTGTCACCTTCAGGCTCAGCCACCACCTGTCTGTCAGTGGAGGCTTGCGTGTTTCTATGATGCTGTCTTAGTTTCTTAGTGCTGCTGTAACAGAAATACCACAGGTAGGTAGTTTTAAAGAACAGAAATTTATTTTCTCACAGTTCAGGAGGCCAGAAGTCTGAATCCAGGGCACTGGCTCTAGGCGAAGGCTTTCTCTCTCTGTCGGCTCTGGGGAAAGAGCTGTTTCAGCTTCTGTAGACCTGCCATTCCTTGATTCCTTGGTGATGTCCACATGGCATGTATCTCCCCCTCTGTTTGTGCTTGCTTCTGTTTGCCTAATCTGCTGTTTTCATATCTCAGAAGTGAGTAGGTCTAAGATACGCCCTACACCTATGTGGTCTCATTCACATAACAAAGAAAACTCTATTCCCAAATGGGATTACATCCACAGGTATAGGAATTAGGATTCCAACACGTATTTTGGGGAGACATAATTCAATCCATAACAGATGCTAAACAAGTCCCAGTGGAGCTTCCAGACTAAATGGACTAGGAAAAAAGGCCTGGAGATCTACTTTCAAAAATCAGCCAGTGAAAACCCTAGAGATCACAATGATCCAATCCAAAACTGATCATGGGCATGAACTGGGCAGGGCAGGACTGGGCAGCATTTCACTCCATTGCTCCATTGTATGTGGGGTTGCCATGAGTCGGGAGCCGACTTGACAGCCGCCAACAACAACATACTATATAATTTACTTACTTCCTATGTTTATCGTTAAAGCCCCTCGACTAGAAAGGGAACCCCCCAAAAAACAAACCAAACCCGTTTCCGTCAAGCCGATTCCGGCTCATAGCGACCCTATGAGGGCAAAAACCTTTGTCTCATTTGTTCACTGATGTATCCCAAATGCCTAGAGCAGTGCCTGGCCTGTAGTCGGTGCTCAATAAACTTTTTTAAATGAATGAATGAGCAAGACAGCCAGAATTCTAACCAAGGCAGTTTATTCCTGAGGCCAGGCTCTTGACCCCTATGCTGGAGGTGGAAGTGGGAGTGGCAGATCATGCCAGGCCTTGTCAGCTAAGGTGAGGGGATTGGATTTGGTTCCCAGATCAGTGAGAAGCTACTGGAGGGTTCTGAGCAAGCACAGAACATGACTGGGTTTACTTTACTAAAGGCTCCCCTGTCTGTGACTGTTGTTGACAGGTGTTGTTGAGTCAGCCCCCAACTCGTGTACAACAGGATCGGACCATTGTGCTCCATAGGGTTTTCACTGGCTGATTTTTGGAAGTAGGTCGCCAGGCCTTTCTTCTGAGGTGACTCTGGGTAGACTTGAACTGCTAATATTTCGGTTTGCAGCCGAGTGCATTAATCATTTGCACCACTCAGGGAGTCCCTGGGCTGTGATTGTAGGATGGGCTAAAAGGGGCAAGTGTAGCACAGTGCTCTAGTTATGTGAGTATGGGGCAATGACGGAGCCTTGGAGAGATGACGCGGCTGCAGCTGCTCAGGGCTAAGACAGTGTGGAGAGAAGCTAGCTCCCTACCCGATTCTCCAGGCAGCCTGGGTGGTTGTCCCACGGCTTTGGCCTGTGAGTAGTCCAGGCCATACCTCCCAAGTGCTGACAATGTGCCCCTGTACAGCAGATCGGCTGTTTGCTAGCCTGGGTGGTCTCCAGCTTCTCCCTCGCCTCCTTTGTACCCAATATGCTTGGCAGGTGGAGAAAAGGCCTCCATGCCCTCTCCTCCCCCGATCCAGAGAATAATCCCTTACATTCATGCAATTTTCCTCTCGCCCTCAC